CCCCCCCCCTTCGGCCATACGGAACTCCATGGTCGTGTGAGTGAGATAGTGCCACACCAACCTCCTCAGGTATTGTGACGCCCGATGGTGGCGCTTCTTCCGGATCCCTTGGAAAAAGATTCCGAGGACCATCACGAGCGTCCAGGGCTTCCATCACTGGTGGCTCACTTAGCGGAGATTACCAACAGCAGCCGGTAGCGCCTTTCCCATGGGTTACGGTCTATCGTGCCGATAAGCTTGTCACACGCATGAGATTTGGCCGAACGTATCAACATTTGAAGGCAGTCCACCTTCTCCCAGCATCTGAGGTAAAGTGCCTTTTCTATCGTCGCATTTCGGCGATACTTCCTGCGCGCTCATTAGATTCTGATCCTCTTCTTCTGGATCTCTGGCGTCCATCAATAGACCGAGTCGCGATACGATCGCCTGACGCGTGGAGTCGCAGCGTCGCAGATTTCTGCAAGCTTACGCTGCAACCAGTCGGCTTCCTCGTCGACTTTGCTGGCGGGTTGGTGGCTCTTTGTGCCACCATATTGTGGCGTGGACCGCGGCTATCAACATCTCCTCGTCGAGTTTCCTGACCGCGCATATCCCAGGTGGCGGATCTTCTTTACGATGACCGTTGATTCCACTTCTTCTTCTTCGGGCGTGTTCGAGATCGATGATGATGTAGAGATTATCGCTCAACGACTCCATCCCCACGCCACTCTCCACTCCGCTACTGTGCGCGCTGTTGCAGGGGAGGTCCACGACCTATCGACTGTCAGGTCTCCCTGCCAATGGACGAATGTGTTCGTCCTGCCGGAGTTCAGTAAGCGGAGGTACATACCAGCTGCTCAATCCACCACTGGAACTCCTCTTAGATCGGCCCGGGGGGACCCTTAAAGCGTGGACATCGCGTTGAACTCCCACACGACCAGTAACTGATGCAACGGCCTCCGCGCGGCAAGTCGTCCAACGACTGCTGGAGCGTAGCTAATGACTCGTTTTGGGGGGAGGGGACATATATCGTGGCGACGGTCATGCCGCTCTAATGTGCCACTACAAACATACATTCCCCTTCAAACTCCCGGAACTGTGCGGAGGCGCTGGATCCCGTCCCGACTAGTACGACGGTCTCCAACATACCTCGGAACCAGCCGGAGCTGTCGGGGATCCAGTGCGGCTCTGCGATGACAGCCAAATGCTCTTCTCGTTCGGCTATGGTCTGCAAGAGCAAGTCCGGCGCCCTGGTAGAGCGAAACACGTTGGCCTGTATGGTGGTGCGGCACGCTTGGGCCATCACTTTTCCATATCAAT